CTTCACAAACAACCTGTCTCCTTCCTCAGACATCCCCTCTACGGTGACTTGTAATCTCACCTCACTGTTTAAAGTTTGATAACATTAGTTTTGGTGTCTCTGACCGCAGGCAAGAAGGCAGCCTCTGGATGGACAGAGGGGAATATTCTGACACCTATCTGTGGAAAAAGAGGATAGCCTTATTAGACTGAATCAGGGTGAGCTGACAAAAGCTAGCCCCAGGACATGTTTCACAGAGTCTTTCCTGTCACATGTCTACATGTCAACAGATTAAGCTATATGCTCTCAGAGCTTGTTCTGGTAGGGGAAAGGATCTCTGCTTATCACACATGTCACCTATTACGTTTAGGAGAATCTCAAATATAATGGAAGATATAGCCTGCAGCCTAGATTTAAATTTAGGAAGTTTAGCATCCATTGAATAACCTGAACTGAAATGCTGACTTGTCCATTATGAGGTGTTGTGAACCACTATACACAATTCAGTGCAAATGTTTGGTGACTCTGTCTCTTCGCAGCATTTAGGATTTAAAACCAGGAATTCATTAGCTTAAAGAAACTATGGAATTAAGTTTCTTACAGTGTGTGTGCTCCTGAGCGGCACCGACACTAGGTGGTGTTTCTTCAGCACAGAGAACTTTTGTATATTTGTTGAGCATATCTGTAGAACAAAGATCGTAAATTGAGAAACCCTGTCTCATTAAGTGATACATCGTAAAAAGAGGGTACTAACTATGGTATAAAAGGGGTAATTAACCTTATAACAGACGTCCCCTCACAAGAAAGCCAGAAAAATAGCCGTTACCGAGAAAAAAACAACAACAACTAAAGTACGGATCTGCAATTAAATTTCCAGCGTCGAAGAATCGAGGCGGAGTGAGCGCTCTTCTTTTTTCCCCCCCTCTCTCTGAAGTGACGCTGCAGAACTTCCGCTTTCCTACTTCCGTACACAAACAGCTCGGCTGATGACGTGTACACGTTAGCTACCTAGCTCAGCTAGCTCGTCCACCTGTCGGAATCAAAGGTGTTGGGAGACGAACAGCAACGTTACAAAGCGGAGGGGCGTTCAGGCAAGTCGGGGAAGATGGAGACGCTCTACCATCAGACGAACAAGTGAGTGTGTTTCCGTCTCATGTGGACGCTGCAGACTCTCACAGCTCACCAGCTAACCGGTGCAAATACACTGGTTAATTACCAGTTCACTTTCAGCCATAACTGTAGCACACTAATAAGAGCAGCATGGTACAATAAGTGGTCATTAAAGTCTCCACACACATGTTGTTCGTTTGTAAATGTTAAAATAAATACATCACTGAACAGACTGGTTGTGTTGTGGCATCGTGTGTGTGTGTTGGTTCCCATCCACTAACGTTATGTGTGTTCTGGATTAGGCAAATCCAGGAGGTGCAGTCTCTTATGGGCAACCTGGAGAAGACGGATCGTCAGTCAGTACACTGTGAGTAGTGAGCTGTAGCCCGGGTTAAACGACTTCCTGTGTAGAAGTGTTGATGGCACACTTCTCGTCCATTTGTCCTTTTTGAGTGGTTTCTAACTTGTGGGTCAGTACAGACTCCTTGTTATGGCTGCTCTGATGTAACGACAGGAGGAGGGGCTGGTGTCTCCCTGGTTAATTGTTTTCTGTGGTTGGTGCCTGCCCAATCAGTTCTGGGCCAGGCTGGTGCCAGGACAGGAAGGAGCGGGGTGGGTGCAGTGACAGAAGCTGGGAGGGCTTCTTCTAGATAATGGTGGGAGCCAGGCAGTAGACAACCCTCCACTTCCCAAGTTATGACATCAACTTGTGTTTGAACCCAGAGGAGGATGTTGCACTTTAAGCCTATACGCTTACTAATGAGAGAGGGCAATTCCACTGATAAATACCAGCGCAGTCACCCTGGAATAAACAGGCCCCCACAGCAACATGAGAAGTGAATGAAGTCAGAAAAGTCGTAAATTCAAGTGTACACTGTACTGACCATTTGCAATAGATCCAAAAAGGAAATGTGGTGTTTTCCTTCCTGTGATTATATTAAATGAATTGTTTTCTCTCTCTTTCTTTTTCTCATTATTCAAGTGTTAGAGAATGAACTACAGGCTAGGACCGACCAGATCTTCAATCATTTGGAACGCCTTGAGATCCTGGCCAGCAAGGAACCACCAAACCGCCGCCAGAACGCCAAATTGTGAGTTTGAATTGAGTCAATTGATGGTGACCCTAAAGCCCCAGACCTGGCAGGGTGAACCATCTCTCATAAAGGCACGGGGAGGGTTTAGAAGATGAGACAGGCGGCCCTGTCCTGCCCTGTGGCGACGTGGCTCTATGAAAACATTTCCTCAGAAGCCCCGTCATCACGAGCATTCCTGCTGCATTGGGCAAAGATTCATTTCTGAGCTGGGTAAACAGGCCTTAGGGGACACGGTACACCCACTCCCACAGCACTGCTCTGATCTCAGTAGAGCTCCAGTGGGGCCCGACTGAAGCTAAGGAGAGACTCATTCCAACTGCATGATAGGGGAAAGAAATACCAGCCAGAACAATTATGAATTGTCAGATCCACATATAATAAGATGAGGTGCAATGATGCATTGTCATAACATACTGTATGTCAAGAAGGTGAGCAAGTATCTGCTACAATATATAGTATATATATAATATAGTATTTTAGCTGCAGAGAGCTTTGTCCACTTTATAACAAACGTGAATCAATTAACTGTATCCTTTGCTGTCTCTCAGGCGAGTGGACCAGCTTAAGTATGATGTCCAGCACCTTCAGACCGCCCTGCAAAATTTCCAGCACCGACGCTACGCCAGAGAGGCCCAGGATAGAGAGAGGGAGGAACTCATGAGCCGTACCTTCACGACCAACGTAAGTCAAGTCTACATTTGCTAGTCAAGATCAGGATGAGGTTATTGACGTTGGTAATCACTCTACTGGGCATGAATCCAACATTCAGGTCCACGTCTTCGGGTTGGTAAAAATGTGATAATGATCAGTGAACTTTGAGTTTGCTCGAACTGCTTGTCTGGCTCGCACACAAGCTAGTTGGCTCAGTGTCACATTCAAATATCTCAAGCTGAATAATGCAGAATTAAAACATTTTTTTCATTTCAATAGGACGCAGATACCTCCATCCCCATAGATGAGACCCTACAGTTAAACTCCAACTTGCACAACGCACACAGAGGCATGGATGACCTCCTGGGCAGCGGCAGTAGCATCCTCAACGGTCTCAGAGATCAAAGATCTACACTGAAGGTGTGCGCATATGATTTAATACAAGATCCGTGGCAGAACAGACCTTCCCGTTTTTTTTATTTTTTTTATTTGGTTTTCTAGAGAAAGGAACCAGTATAGAGGGTTACACTCACTGGATAGATAAAGTTTAAACATTTTGTTCCATGAGCCAGTTTCTGAATGCCACATTGATCACAATAGTCTCATTGTTAGTGTGCATGTGCTCAGTTAGAGGGTGAGTCCATTTTTCCAGGGAGGAGATGGTCTTCCTGGTTTTGCTTCAGGCCTCCTCTTATCAGGGTGTGTCTGTTGAGCGGCACTCGTAGCCCGGTTGTCTAGCCATGAGAAACTTCTGACGGAGCGGCGCGTCAGGGAGGGCGTTGGCACTTAACGTCTCCCGAAAATCAGATGAATTAGCGTGGATAATTACAACGTTGTCATCTGATGCCTGAATTTCCCAAAACAATATGTGTATGTATGACCGTTGCAGCCCAATCTCACACGTGATCATTGCTGTTTACATGAGTACGGCTCTTGTTTTCGCCTCCGCACAGGGGACCCATAAGAAGATGCTGGATGTGGCCAACATGTTGGGGCTGTCGAACACAGTGATGAGACTGATAGAGAGGCGAGCCACCCAAGACAAGTTGATCATGATTGGAGGCATGCTGCTGACCTGCGTCTTCATGTTCCTGGTTATCAGATACCTGGGCTGACCACCATCCATCCACAACGGCGGTTTTTGATCAGTCGTGGACATTTCTGCAGCGCATCATCCCTCATGATATGAAAAGTGGCAGAACATATTTTTAACATCAGATTTAAGCAATTCATAAATTGTGCCATTATCGTTTGTTTTCAATCAGTGTAGTTATTTTGGGCACCTGTGAAATGATAAAGTTGAAGAAGACCTTTATTACATACAGTATTTTATTCTGCTTGAAGCTCCAAGAGAGCATTGAACTTTATGATAATATGTCTGATTTCCTCCGATTACTGCCACACATCCATCATCTTTTTTATCAAAACCACTCTGAAACTGTAAATCACTCGTTTACCCAAACAGCTTTTTAAAAATACTTAATAACTGATCTTTATACTCATCCTTTACCATCAGTAAAAAGCTATGTTTTTTTTTTTGCTCCTTAATCTGTCAGTAATGTTGTCAGTGTTTAACATGGTTCATAGAAAAATAGAAATACTCAACGCTCCAAGTTTTATTACATTGCAATTTAAGGATACTCCCCAGAGAATCATCTTTTGTTTTGTGTGTAGCTAAGGTTATACACAAGAGATAATCTGCTCAGAAGAACAATGGAAGCAGCAATTATTTTGTTATTGTACTTTCTCCTGGATTCATGTTGGAGTATTAGTCTCACTGTGTGAGTGACTGCTTTCTCCTAATAGAATAAAACATGTTTAATTTCCTTGGTATATCTTCTTGCTGGTAACAGGAACAAAGTTTATAACAGATTTTTGCCAGATAACTCTTAAGTGCTTTCCCTGCCACTGCAGGCATTACTGGTAGTTAGGGGCGTTAACTCTCCTGTTATGTGCTTTTTGTGGATTTTTCTGCTTTCACAAGTGTATTTAGGGCAACTAGGGCACCATCTAGTGTTTCTTTTTTAACAGTGACCTCTGCAGGGGATTGCTTGACTTTCCCAGATGAAGTGATGTTAGCGTTTTCATTCTTGTGTCTGAGTGTTTCAAAGATTAAATGTTTACATGTGAATTTCATTAATGCTTCATATTAGGGAAAAAGACACATGAACTCAAGATTTTATTTGCTGAAACATTAAGGTTTTAAAAAATACAGAGTTGCTACTGTTTGACAGATCACTATTCCTTTGCCATCCCAGCCGGGGTAATTTAGAAACAACCTTGATAAAATACATACACGTGTCTACCTGCCATCCACCAAGACATTCCTCTTTTTCCAATGCCAGTCTCAAACCTCTAGAATGTTAATAGGTTAATCTACAGCAGTTTTATTTACAAAATTACACAAAAGCAAAACACAGTTCTTCTTTTGAAGAGCATTTTGGAAAATAATTTAAAAACAGAAAAATACAATTATTGCAGTATACTACAATCTTATTGTTACATGATGCAAACGCACCATCTAGATGTACAGATTTCAGTGCAATTCATTCAGGTGTACCCTAACCACAGGGAACATGAACTTTGCCTCAGAGCATCAGGGATTTTAAAACCCCTACATCACATTTCCCCTCGCTTTGAGAGGAGTTTCCTATGTGACAATGTCATACAGATTCGGACACCATAGCTGTAATTTCATATGGTCATCATTGGTGGGATTCTTCACATTACACACTGATATATGTACAGGTTACTGCATTACAAATAATTTGAGACTTAGGATCCAATGGAGAGCAAATAGTCCTATGAAAACATGAACAGAGTATCAGTAATTATGAAACAGTTCTGAAGGTTACATTATAGAATCAAACAATACCACTAACTCCTCACGCCCCCTACCATGATTCTGCTTATAGCTTCAGCCATTACTTTTCTTTGGCTGCCAAGATGAGCAAAAACTGTGAGAATAATATTTTTATGTGGAAAACAAAAAACACCTCCAGTGGTTTCTCTGACTTATAATTCAAAAACAAATGGGGGTTGTTAATATACCTCAATCTGGAATATAAACCAATGTCTTGCAGAAGTATCTTTAAATCTAAAGATTCAGGGAAAAACATGAAAACCCCTCAAATGAGCCAGAATAATATATTAGTGTCAATTTTGAACCCAACACAGGCAACACCACTTTGTGGCTACAACTTGCTGCACTGTGTAGGCCAGTAAAATGATGGTTTATTGACCGCTTCCTGTCTCACTGACTGCACGTTGTCACAAAGACTTCCTTAAACCCTACACCAAGCCGGTTAGGTTAAGTCTTTCTTCCAGTGGCTACAGTCCTTCACTTGCATCATTACTCAGGAGCCATGGTTAGGTGGGTGCTGGAGGTCCTGTCCTGAGAAGATTGGGTGTAGCAGTGGGTGGAGTTGGAGAGCTGCTGCTGCAGCAGCCTGTGAGTGCCTGGGTGTGAAAAGTGTGGGGTACAGGGCTGTATGTGGATGTACATGGTGGAGAGCTAAGGGGGTGTGGTGAAGTGCAGAAGCTGGGATAATATGTATAGGCTGACCAGAAAGAAAGGCTGTTGGGTGGGCAGGAATCAGTCCAGCATGTCCTAGTGAGTGTCCCAGAGAATGACCAAGAGAATGGCCCAGAGGAGACAAGGAGATGGGGGTCAGGTGGTGCTGGGGAATGTGGTGTACCTGGGCCAACTGGGCATGTGCATGGTGTGGGTGGTGTGGGTGTCCTGGGTGGATGCCCATGGCTGCAGCAGTGGCAGCGTGGTGTTGCAGGATAGCGTGCTGCACTGTGGTGATTGATGTGCCAGAGGCTACAGACACTGTGGGCTGCTGAATGTGGATCTGCTGCAGGGTTGGGGGAGGTGGAGCTGGAGCCAAGTTGGCAGCTGCTGCAGCGGCGGCTGCGGCCGCAGCAGCAGAGGGAAATGTCTTGACCTGCTTGGCCAAAAGCTGTTGCTGGATGTGCTGCTGTGCAGCCTGTTGCAGCTTGCTGTATTTTTCCATCTCCTCTGGTGTGAACGTAATGGGCTGACTCTCCAAAGGTGCCAGTCCATCCTCCTCTGCCTCCATGCCATCCTCCTCCAGGCTGGGTGGTGGGTAAGCAGGGTAGGCATGCATTGGGGGCTGCTGCTGCTGCATTTCTGGCATGAGGGACTCCATCATGGGGTTCTGCGAAGGGTCCTGCCCTGATTCTCCTTGGTACTGGGGCATCATCATGGAAGGCTCCTGCTCAAACAACGGCCGGGGTTCTTGGTGCACCTGGGCTTCTGTAGTCGGGTGGGGTGTCTCCTCTTGTACCACTGTGCTCTGTGGGGCCTCCTCAACCTTCTTGACCGGTGGAGCTGGAGGTGGTGGTGGAGGGGGGAACTCCCTTATAGGCTCTACCAGGATAACCTCTGCCTCAGCCTCAGATCCCTTCCCTGCTCCTGATTTCTCACCCTCATCAGGTCTCGTCAGGGGAATCACTGGTTTCTTCCCTGCCTGCAGCTTACCAAAAAGGGGCAGCATGGCTTTGTTTCCCAGGGTTGGGGGTAGTTTGGGGCCAAAGTAGCCCTGTGGTGGGTCCTTAATCTTAATGCCAGATTTTGTTCCTGTGGTAGAATCATCAGAGCTTTTTTTAGACTGAACCTTCTCTAGCAGCTGGCGTGCAGTAAGGGAGTTTTTCTGTTCCCCTGCATCTCTGGACCCCCCTGGCCTCAGAGCCTGCGAGCTGGATGAATGGGTGTTGCGATTAAGGCCTCGCGATGAAGATGAACGTGGAGACTGGGAGCGGTAGATGCAAGAGCGGTTGAAGTCTCTGCGGTGTGACTCACTGTCCCCTCGACCCCTGGGGCCTCGTCGGCGAGGGGAGCCTTTGGTGGAACTGGAGGAGCGACTGGCAGAGCTGTGGCTACGGCTGTAGCTGCGCCTCCAGGATCTTGCACTGGTGCTGCGGCTCCAGCTACTAGAGCTTCTTGAGCTGCTCCTATGGTGCCGCCGGTGCCTCTTCCTGCGGCTGTAGCTGCGTGAACGTGAGCGTGAGTCTTCTGAGGAGGAAGAGGAGTACTGATGTCTTCTGGACCGTCTGTGTCCTCGGCTTCCCCTGCGCTCATACTCAGAGTCTGATGACCGTTTGGAGTGCCTCCGTCTGCGACCCTCTGTGCTGTAGTCGCTGTAGCTGTCTGAGTAGCTACGGCTACGGTGGCTGTAGGCGCTGCTGCCTGCTGAGGAGCGCTCAGAGCTGCTGGAGTAAGAGTGACTACGGGAGTTTTGGCCATGATGGCGTCGACGACTGCTGCCCCGTCTTTCCCCTCGTCTTGAAGAACGACTGCAGGACCGCCTTGATTCCTCACTATGGTGGCGACGTTGTTCCCGTGGACTTGACCTATGATGACGTGACCGCTGCGTATTAGAGCCCCCTTCTTCTTCACTCTCGCTGCTGGGAGGTCTACCTGGACCAGGACTCTTTTGGGCTGAGGTGGAGCAGGAGGCACTTTGAGATGCACTTGAGTCAGTCTTTTGTCGCTTGGTGCCACTGTGATCCTCTGAAGAGTTGGCCTTGTCGGTGCCTTTACCGGCTCCTCCTTCCTCTGCTCCAGACTTGCAAGGCACTTCCTTAGTAGGGCGTTTCCTCTTCCCCAGTTCCACTCCTGTATTTCCTGTAGATCCTCCTCCTCCAGTTGTCAGCTGAACAGAGGAGGCAACAGCCTTATCTTCTGACTTTGGTTTTGCCTTTTCCTTTTCCTTTTCATCACCTGCTGCCTCATCTTGATCTGGAGCCTTGTTTTTGCTCTTCTTCCTTTTGTGTTTTTTCTTCTTTTTGGGCTTATCTTGTGTCACCTCAGTCTCTCCCTCCCCATCTTCTTTTGCCCCTTTTTCTTTTTCTTTGCGTTTTGAGTGCTTTGCAGACTTCTTATGCTTCTTCTTTTTCTTTTTTTTCTTGGCACTACTGCTGCCAGTTGCTGGCTTTTGCTCATCACCGTCTGGTGGGCCAGACTCTCCCTTCATCATTGGCTTGTCTTTGTCAGTGCTGGTTCCAGGTTTAGTTGCTGTATCTACTTCCACTGAGACAGCCATCTCTTGTCCCTTGTCATTAGACTCTTCACAAGGTTTAGGGGACTTTGCTGCTTTCCCACCACGTGCTCCTTTGTTGCGGGACAGCTTGAAGTCAAAGTAGAGGGGATTGCAGCTGTAAGACAGAGAAGGCTGAGCTTTTGTAAATTCAAGGAGCTCAGAGGGCCACTGCAGGGTAGTGCTCTCATCTTTGCTCAGAACTGGGAAGAAGGGTCCTGTGGGGATTTTAGGACCCGAGTTGGAATCGAGGGTATCCTGTGTGCTCTCTGCTTTCTGTGTAGGGGAAGTGGGTTCCACAGTAGCTGTATCTGCTGCACATGAAGACACGTCCTCTGTCTTCACTTTAGGTGATGGAGGAGTTGGCTCTGGGTCGGGGGTTGAAGCTATATTACCTTGTTCTCTTTCAGTCTTACACTCTGTAACGTTGGGCTCTGTTGGTTCAGAACCATCATCAACCTTCTTCTCCTCTTCCCCCTCTTCCTCGTCTTCCTCTTCTTTGCTTGGACACTGATCAGTGGCCTTCATAAACAGCAAAAACTGGAAGTGAGGCTTTACTCGGCAGTGAGCTGGAGGTACATAGTGATAATACTGAGGCTCCTGTCCAGCATATCCCTCCTCTTTTTTCATCATCATCTTCAGTTTGTTGAGAGTGGAGGCTAGAGACGCTCCGTCATCAGGCTGCTGCACCTCTTCCACCCCTGCCACACTAACGCCCTCACCTCCTTCACCTCCTCCTGAGCTTTCCTTAGGGCTGTCTGTGCTGCAGCCAGATGTCTCGTCTTGCCCTCCAGCCTTTTCTCCCTCTTGGCTTTCCTCTTCCTCCATAGCTTCCTCTCCATGATCAGCAAACACTGCTGCTGCTGTCTCTAGCTTTACTGGGGCTTTCTTGGCAAAAGAGAAGGACACACTGACTTTGGATGCACCACTGGGGGTTGGGGAGGAGGCGGTGCTCTTCCCCAGAGAGAAGCTGATTGTTGGACCTGGCTTTGGGGAGGACTGCCCAGTTTTATCTGCTGGTGATTCTTCCCGGACACTGTCTGACAAAGGAGTGTTCTCAGGCGTCATGCTGTCACTCTCTTCTGCTTTCTCTCCATCCACAGCCACTGTGGTAGTTTTGAACATGGGCCCACTTCCTGGAGTACTGAAACACAAAAGCATGATAATGTGATGTTGGATGAATGTTTCCAACTGAAGAAATACCACATAATTGCAGTGACAGTTTAACAGGATTATCGCATCCTTGTTGTGTTTGTTTGTCCTCACAAAGGACAGGGTGGTAATTTTTTAATATGTGGTTTTTGTTTGTGCCTAACAGGTTGCACAACGATCCTTAAAAACACAATAAACATGCAATTGTACTACTATATAATTGTAGATATATTCTGTAATCCAGCCAGCAGAGGGCACTCCGTGAATAAATTCTTACCGGTCCTGTTGTTTCCTTTGCTCAGCCAGCTCATGCAGTCGGCGCAGCATCTTTTCTTGCTTCTTTCCACCTTTCCGGGAACGTGATGACACATTCCGAGCAAACTCTCTCTGCTTCAGCTCTTTAAGCCTCTGCAAAAGAAAGACATTGTCAAGACAGAGAAACAAAGCTTATCAAGATGTCTTCTCTCATGTTTTAACACAAAACAAATCTCCATTAAGAGTGCAATAATTATCACTAGTACCTGCTTGTGAGCGTGGTCATAGGAGTTAATGTGGTTGTCAAATTCCTGGTGTTTGGTGTATTGTTTGTCACATAGCTCACAGTAGAAATTGGCTCTCAGGTCTTCCAGAGCCTTTGCGATAGCTTTCTCCTTTTCCATCTGGTCCTATTGTTGATGGGAAACACAGGAGGGAATTAATCTTGTGTTCGAAGAGTAAAAAAAAAAAAAAAAA